TAAGAATGCTCTAAACAGTCCAAGCTTAGGCACACAATTCACAGTTCAAAGGAATGGAGGGCAGATTTGAAGTCAGGATCCTACACAGCACTGAGTTTAGCTTAGCTTCTGAGGCAAAAGTGGGAGAATGGACAAGCTGGCTTTCTTACTGACTCTCTCACTGTTAACTGTCAAAGCCTCATTTTCCTAAATGACTCCTTTGCCCTCCATATAGGGACAAGGGGTATGGTAATCCCTCTTAACCACAGTATAAAGGATGATGGTATCCATCCATTTGGGGAATGGCTAAACATCTAGTTTCAGCAAAGTTCTCTGTAATCTTCCTTCCATCCCTTTGCAAAGCAGCATTTCACTTTATTCTACATGTTACAAGCTCTCAAACCCCACCACCACCACATCATGTACAGTTCTCCAGGAAAAAAAAATTAAATGCCCTTTTTTCTGCTGCAGGAGGTCAGTCTTCCCATTTCCTGGCCTACAGCATCTGTCATCAACATTTGGACAGCTAGCACAGCAGAACACAGCAGCAGTCTCACACTGCTCAGCAGCCCCAAAATACAAGCCCAGAACTGCCAGCTTTCCAAGTGGTGCTGGCTCCACAGGCCACATGAAAACTGAAGGAAAGGAAAGAGACTTCTCCAAAGAACAGACACACAACATAAAATCATTTGAAAAAGAACATTTCTGTCAACAACTACTGCCTAGCAACAAGTCCTTGAATGTGCTCCATATTATTTCAGCAACAATGAGCCCAGCTCCACAGTTTCAAGGATACTGAAGCCTAAAACTTCTAGCAACTTAGACAGTAAAAAGAAGCTGTTGATTTATGAAGTGGTCAACAAAAAGGAGCAATGCAAAAGAAAAGCAGTCAGCCTGGGGTGTTCCATCTATTTGCCCCATGTACTTCTGCTCATAGTTATCCCTTCTGAGACGCCAAGCAGTCCAAGTCAGAATATTCTTCTGGAATATGACCAGGCTTGGACACAGAGAAAGAAGGTTTGAAAAAAAGAGGCCTAGATTTTCTCTTGAACAACCCTAGCTTTATTTCATGGATCATCACTCAGATGGAGGCTTCCAGAACACTTTACAAGATAAAATCTGATTCCAAAAGCATCCCTGAAAAGAGTTTTAATCAGATACATATATGAATGGAAGAAGCCTAATAAACTTGACATTTATTATCTCTAAGCACAGTAATAAGAACTTTGTTACTATAACATGCCCTCATACAACACACATCTGAGACTCCACCATTGCAAAACGGGCATGGTGGCGCACGCCTGTAATCCCAGCACTCGGGAGGCTGAGGCAGGAGGATCGCTGTTGAGTTTGAGACCAGCCTGAGCTACATAGTGAGTTCCAGGTCAGTATCAACTACATAGTGAGATCCTGTCTCAAAAAAACCCAAAAAAACCTGGGACTATGAAAATGAACAAAATATTCAAAATTCTAGCTTTCATTAAATTTATATTTCATATTTCATTTTATTTTTATGATGCTGGTGACTGTACACATGCTAAGCAGGCACCCTACCAATCAGCCAAAATCTACATTTAGTTATGGTTGACAGAAATAAATTTATGTCAGATGGTAATAAATACTATGAAGAAAGATAAAGGAAGGGCGGGGGATTTAGCTCAGTGGTTCCAGTGCCTGCCTCTCAAGTGCAAGGACCCAGAGTTTGATCCCCAGTACCAAAAAAACCCACAAAAACAAATACAAAAAACTGCAGGACTCGGCTCTTTTGTAGCTGGGCGTGGTGACAAACACCTGTAATCCCAGCACTCAGGAGGCTGAGGCAGGAGGATCTCTGTGAGTTTGAGACCAACATGGGCTACATAGTGAGTTCTGGGTCAGTCTCAACTACATAGTGATCCTTTTTAAAAAAAAAAAAAAAAAAAAAAAAAAAGATAAAGAGCAGACTAAGGGAGCTTTGCTACACAAAATTTTACATAAAAATAAAGCAGAGGCCAGGTGTGGTGATGCACACCTGCAATCCCAGCAACCAAGCTGGGCATGGTGGTGCACACCTATAATCCTGAGACTCAGGAGGCTGAGGCAGGAGAGTGTGTGAGTTTAAATTTGAGGCCAGTATGGGCTACATAAGGAGTTCAGGGCCAGCCTGAACTACATAGCACAAGCTGTCTCAAGGAAAAAAAAAAATCCCAGCATCCAGGAGGCTGAAGTAGGAAGATTGCTGCAAATCCAAGGCCAGCCAGGACTATACAGAAGGACCTTGTCTCAATATACCAAAAAAAAAAAAAAAAGAACAAACAATAAAGGCCAGAGAGGAAGTATTATTTTAGATACACTTATCTCGGAAGGCTTAACTGAACAATAGTAAGGGCCACCACACATATGCAGTACTTCATTTAATCCTCAGCAACTCTAACTTCAGTACTACTACCATCCCCCATCTTACAGAGATGAGAAGATGAAGCCAGGTGTAGTGGCACATGCTTGTAATCCCAGCACTCGGGAGGACTGCTACAAGGCCAGCCTGAACTACATAGCAAGATCCTGTCTCAAATAACAAATTAAAAAAAGGAAGAGAAGAAAAAGAGGAGATAGATCTTAGAGAGGTAAGGATCTTTGTGGAGTCTGTAGTTTGGGTAAGTAAGGACAAAGGGGACCAAGGTCCAGATTATAGTGGCCAGAGCTTGAACTCTCAGGGATCCAACTCCAGACCCCATGCTTCTCCTAACACATCATGCTACCATGTTGACAGAGATATACAGCCTCAGAGAAGTCAAGTGTAACTATAGCCACAAAGTAGCTGGTCCATTTAGCCTCCATATACATGGCTAAAAGATTAATGCAATTCAATCTTCCCAAATATCAGACTATTACTCTTACTACCAGCTGAAAACCAAACCTTATCTGAAACACGAGAAGAAAGACACTCTGGGCTCTTTAAGGCCAGCTACTAAATGCTGGTTATGTTCCTCTCCTACCTCCTACCCCATATGGTATATAACACTAAGACAAGATGATACAGTATGAAGTAAAGGGAGACATGGTTTGCTAATTCTCCAGGTTAAAATTTCTCTCTGGAACACAGGCAAGGAAAGACAGCTTTACAGAGCCACAGCAGCTCTGTGGGGTGGAGAGGAAGGGACAGTCAAAGATCAGTAGCAAGAAGATAACAAGCCCTCTCCAGTCCCATTTCAAAGAAAGTACAGCTCTCCCTCAAGCCCTGGAGTACCTGGGTGCTACAGGGGAATATGAAACCCTTTCTTCAGAATCATAAGGAAGGATAGACAAAAACAGAGGGAAGAGGCACCCACGTCTGGAGGGGAGGGATTACAGAAAAAGGCAGGAGGTAACTGAAGAAGGATAAAATTGCTTCAAGCAGGAAAGTCCAAAAGGAAAATGCCACAGGGTTGGGGATGTAGTTCAGTGGCACCACACCTGCCTGCCAAGCACAAGGTCCTGAGTTCAATCCTGGTACCAAAAAAGGGGGTGGGGTAGGGGGTGGAATGCTGTACCAAGGTCAAGGGGCATTTACAGAATTACTGAAAATCCCAGGTTGAGGCTTCAAGCCAAGTTACAAGAAGCTAAAAGACAACCCCAGGCAGAGTCCCACAAGGCTCAAATCAAAGGTCAATATTTGGACCCACCCCTTTTATAATTGTATTTCACAGCCAGGGAAATTGTAGCCAGAGTTAATGAACAATCAAGTAGGAGGAGAAGGTGGAGAGTCATCCCAGAGTGGAGCATATTAAGAGACTTACAGCCTGGATGTCCATCTTATACCCCAACTAGCTTGGACACCCCAATTTAAACCCTAAAGTAAGCTCTGAAAGCTTTCACGGAAAGCCTTCAGACTCTGTACCCATCGACACACACAGAGAAAGTCAAGTCTGTCTCCCTCACCAATAACTTCCTATCTCTTCTCCAGCAAGTCAGGTCGCATAGCCCAACACTGCACCAAACAAATTATGACCTGAATGGCAAGAAAAAACTGTGTCACCTACAGAAACCCAATTAACAACATGACTCTGCTCTCTTCAATTCCTCTCTTCCCTCCCATCATATCCGGGGCAGCTGTGTGGCTGACCGCCTTTTCCCACAACTGGCCATGTTCCTTAACTCAAAAGCCAGTGTGAAGAGGCCTCCTGAGAAAGCCAGCCTAAGGGAAACTCTGCTCTCTCTCTCTTCACCTTGACCGGCTGAGAAAGCTGGAAGGACACGAGACCCAAACACCCGCAGAGTAACAACAGCCTGGAGGGTTCACCTTGAAATCACCAAGTCGCCCTTAAGCCAAAGCTTCCCCCAGGAAACACAAACGCAGCCAAAAGCTCCTAAACTAAGTGCCCCACGTGGGACAATAAATGGCTATTTTAAAGAAATTCGTGCTGCAGTTGGTTCCCTTAACCCGTTTCCTAATTAGCTCCTCCCTTGAGGGCTCCCGGGTGCCTCCACCTCCTCAGCTCTTCCCAATCCTACAGACCACTTGCAGCTCGCGTTTTGTGTGTGTGTGTGTGTGTGTGTGTGTATGTGTGCGTGTGTGTGTACATGTATGTAAACATCCTCTTCCCAGTCTGAGCTAGTTTCTTAAGGAAATAAATGCTTTCCCTCCCCCCTCAGCGCACTTGTCTGTCCTCCCAGCCCTGCACTGCTAGAGTTGATAATGTAATATTCAGGGACGCCGAGACCGGAAATGCCTGAGTCTGGACTGCTGCACTTGAAACCGGAGAAAAAGGATAGGGAACACTGAACGTGGGATTGAGGGAGACCGCAGGAGGTATGGGGTGGAATGGAGAGGCTGAAAAGCCGACCAAGAAAGAGTTGCAATTCAGGGGTGGGCGAGAAAGAGAAAAGGATGAGTAGGAGGTTGTGGAGGCAGTTGAAAGTCAAAATTCCGGGAGTCAGGAGAGGGTGGGGGGACGCAGATACGACGAAAAGGGTGAGAAGAGGGGCACGAAGGGGTGTGGGGCCACAGTAAAAATGCTCTGCAGATGATAAGGGAACCTAGATTGAGAAACCTGAGATGACCCTCAAATACCTCGGAGGGAGTACCGAACCCCAAAGTAAAGGCTGGGGTGGTAGGAAAGTGTGGGGGCGGTACACCACAGGGTGGAGACTGAATTGGCTCCCAGAATCTGCAGCAAGTAGAGAGGAGAGCAGAGGGCGGAGACCCACCAACCGCGAGAGCCTGGGGAAGGGGCAGGGATCCCTGAGGGAAGTGGAGCCGGTGGAAGGGGGCGCCCCGGAACACGTGAAGCGCGCAGCACCAGGCTCCCTCGCCGCAGGGAGTGTGTCGCCCGTCGCCCATGGCCTCCGCGGTGAACCGAACCACGGGGCCGCTCACGCTCCGGCTCGGTTATTCCACTGCTGCCGTCGCCGCTTCTCCCCCATCGGGGGAACCTAGGGGCGGACTCCACCGCGCCTCCCCCCGGAGAAGGAGGAAGAAGGTGGGCCGGCAGGAGGACCGACCCACGACTGACAGGAGCTATCGCCCCGGACGTCGCCCATGGCCTCCGCGGTGAACCGAACCACGGGGCCGCTCACGCTCCGGCTCGGTTATTCCACTGCTGCCGTCGCCGCTTCTCCCCCATCGGGGGAACCTAGGGGCGGACTCCACCGCGCCTCCCCCCGGAGAAGGAGGAAGAAGGTGGGCCGGCAGGAGGACCGACCCACGACTGACAGGAGCTATCGCCCCGGACTCTGCAACCCTAGAGCCTCGCGACTCTCCAGCGCAGGCGCAGAGCGGCGGTGCCCAGGAGGATGGAAGAGCGAACGTGACGCGAGCGCGCCGGGTTCCCCCTCCCCCTAGGCGCCGACACCTGGGCGCAGGCGCAGGAGAGCCGGCAAAAGGCGCGCTCCAGGAGCTAGAGACCGCGCGAGCTCGGCGAGAAAGAAGTGGGCGGCGGCCGAGGCGGGCACGCAGCGCGCCCACCAGCAGGCGCGCGTGCGCATAAGCCCTTCCCTATTTTTTTGCCCTCTCTCCTGTTACCTTCTTAGCTTTCCTTTGACGCCTTTCCTTCTCTTTCCCATCGACTTTCTTGTGCCCAGCTGCCAATCAAGCCACCCACCTCTCTATTTGCGGGGGAAGGGAGGCGGGACTCAACCCCCTCTAGTACTAGGGGCGTTGTTATGGTAACTCCCCACGCGAGGAGGGTGGCCCCTAGATAGGACGGGCTGTCCACCCACCCAATTGTCATGGCAACAGTGGAGCCGTTGAGGGAGGGGCCTCTCGGTGAGAATTTGGCTAGAGAAACCACGTGGGAGTTGGGAAGGGAAAGAGGGACCGGTTGCCTCAGGGAGGCCCTATACTCCTTTCCCTAGCTGGAATAGGGAGTGTTGAAGGGATCTCAAGTCTCAGGGTATGGAAACCTACTGCAGACCTTTATGTCTTAGCAAGTGTTCTGCACAAAGGAACTGTTTGAGCAGTTATACACTGGCTGACCATTGGAATGGAGCATGGCAGAAGGGAAGAGGAAATTGTATCCAATCTCTTCAGAGCCTGCTCTGGTCACCTTAGTTGGCACAGCACTCCAGCCATTAGGCTCACTGGAAACTGCATAATGCTGTGTAAGAAATGAATCCTCGGGCCAGGTGTGGCAGTGCATGCTTATAACCCCAGCACTCAGGAGGCTGAGGCAGAAAGATTGCGGTGAGTTCCAGGCCAGCCTGAACACAGTGAGACCCTGTCTCAAAAAAAAAAAAAAA